TTAATGCATGGGTTTTTTTTTTCGAACGGATTAGAAATGGATTGTAGGGATCTTGTTGACGGATTACATGAGAGAATGTAGCAAGAGTTCCCAGAGGATTCGACTACTTGACAGAAGGTTTCGTTGTTGCCAGCATTGTGTTTTTTCGGTGCAGTTCATGGACAAGAACCTGTACGGGTTCCCGTCGTAGTCTGAAATCGACCATTTGTGGCAATCTTGGCATTGCAGCAGAGCATGCATAAAACCATAGGACTACCATGGCCCCCCCCAACCCTTCACCCCCCACACAAATCATGCCTACTACGCCCCTAGTAATTAAGCGTGAATAAGCCTAAGAAAGGTTTTAGTTTATAGGGCGGCATATTAGCTCCATGACTTCATTGTTGTAAGGGACTGCCTCTAAACAGAATCCTTGTGTGTCGCTAACATGACATAGCACACCCCCTAAGGTTTGCTTCTTGTTCAAAATCTAAACCCTCTATGCGCAACCCGCACTCCTAAGCAGAAATCTGCCGGATCCTGCTGGCAGGCATTCCCAGAAAAAAAATTGATGGAAGAAACCTTGCGCCACCTGCGCGGCCCTTTTCATTCCTGATAAGGAAGGTCACGGTACTTTGGGGATTGTGCGTAGTGGGAGATGTCCTTCATCAATTGTAGGTGTCATATACACCAAGCGATTATAATCCTCAAGATAGGTACCCTAAAACTAAAACCCTAAGCCCTCCAAAGACCCTAAACCCTCAACCCCAAGACCCTAAGACCCTAAGACCTTAAACTTAAACATGAGCGCCCCATTTTTTTTGAAGTCTGCGTGTGGCTTACGGGCGGATCCCACCTGGAATACCTATGTGGGCTACAGTCAACATTGGCCTGATTAAGGGACCCTTCGCAGTAGACATTTGGGGGTCCCTCTTGTAGGTTAAGTAGAGTCCCTAACATTGTCCCTAACAATGTAATGCCTGATAATGGTACCTACATTTACACCTCCCTCGCCCCGCTTAAGCATCAGTAAGAATCCCCTTATTCTATAGCCTTGCCTTGTGTAATCCGAGTGTCGCTCGAACTTTATTCTCCATCAGTATTCCCCCAAATTGCAAACCTAAACCCAAAGGTCGTGGAGGCTGGCAGCTACCCGGTGAAGCTTGTTGGTTCAGATCAACCAGCCGCGCAGAAGCAAGCTCTGGAGGACGGGTTTAGGGTGAAACGGTTTGCATGCTTCCAGAACGCAATCCTAGGGGTGTATTTGGGGTTTCCATCAAGTAATCGGGTACCCATCACATACCCCAAAGCGTTGTAATCCTTATCATAGGGACCCCGAAAGTCCCTAGTAAGACATATCCATATTGGCATTCTTTCCAGGCTTCCATCTTTCTGAAGAGTATGGCTCTCAGGTTGTTTCTTGCGGGCCTGTCTTGATATGTGGAGATTGTGTTGCAACCCTAAACCTGTAACTGTGTAAAGGGTTGAGGCTTCTAGATTTTTGGCGTTCCTAACATCAAGGCTTTACTTCTGGGACACTACCATCATGTTGAATATAGGGGCTACTATAAGGATCCAGTCCTCCCTGCCTAAGCCCTATACCCTCAACCCATAATGGGTTAGTATAAGGATCCATTCCTTCATTCGTAGCTAGCCAAAGGCCAGTGAAGGAGCAGGGTGCTCAACTCCGGCCAACCTGATGAGCAATCCCGTCAGCTGTTTTTTACTAGTCCCCCTTAAGTAGCTGAGGGCTTAAGGGTTACTAGGTGGTAGCTTCTATATAGGGAGTATATACTAATATCTTAGTGATGGCAAACATGGAAACTACTTTTCAGGGTTTGGATTGTTTTGGATTTACACTCCCCCGAATGAAATTCTGACCATAACTAGATCCTGAAGCCATATTCGAGAGTTGGGGGAAGGTGTGTGGTAGACGCCTGAACATTTACTAGTATCATTTCATGATCATCTAACTATAGCGGTAGCAAAATGCACTCCAAAACGTCCGAAACATTATTAGGCCCCTACATATCATGCAATCCCTACATGAGTCCACTTTCCATTGCATTGTCCATTTGCAATTTTCTTCTGCATTATTTAACCCTGAACCGCGGACACCTCACGCACAACCCCCGAAGTGTCCCTCCACAAGGCCTGTCTCTCTATAGAACTCCTGTAAACCTAAATTTAGGCACCTTGAGAGGAGCTGAAGGCAGCGCATGGGGATAAGCTGGTCATCATCGATTTCACCCACCCGAGTGCTGCGAATGCCTCAGGCGTAGGGTTGCTAGTTACTTCCACATTGTTCGAGCACTCCACAAATACTTTGATATTCCAGAATTTATTTTATATATACAGATATCATACTAGAACTTGACATATTTGGGGGGTCGAGAGAGTGTGATGAGAGGAAGGAAGCAGGAGCACCACAGCCAGTGCTGCAAAAGAGCCACGCTGTCAAGCGCAGTGACAGAATCAGGTGCGGTGCGCTTCGGGAATGGCAATCCTAACCATTCAGAACCCAGCTGAGGGCATTTTTTTCACATCATGCGTTATTCTGAGAAACTGACGCTGTACATCACTGCGCACATTTTTAGCTGGTCCCATGAAGGCTAAGATTGCAGTCAAGGTGAATGCCAACGCTGAGCTCTACGCCGCAGCTGCGTGGCTGCCATGCTGAGGGATCTTGCGTGCGTGTGCTACCACCCACCCACAACCAGGAATACCGGACTACCGTTTACGAGTATGCTAACTACGAGCAGCGGCAGCAGCAACAACAGCAGCAGCGGCCGTGCGGCCGTGCGGCCGTGCGGCAGTGGCAGCGGCAGCCACCGCGACCACTGTCGCCAACGCCGCTACCGCCGCCGCCACCACCACGTGCATTGCTTTCGGAGAGAGGACCCGGATCCGCCTGAAAACTTCAATCTTCAATTCCTTCTAGGCTTCTGCCTGGTTTTCGCCCATTTTGCTGTCTTCAGTTCAGTGTGTGTGTGTGTGTGTTTTGTCGTTTGTTGCTTGGAATTTGGCGTTTTGCGCTCAGGGTTCAGGCCCAGGGTTACCTTGCCAGTCAACAAGCCCAGATGCAAAAAGCGCTTTGGATGTAGGGTTTAACGAGTGATTGCAGGGTTGAAGGTGGAAGGTCTGTTACTTGCCCGTGCGGCAGCCCAGGTGCTCAAGGATTAGAGGGAAGAATCAAGGGCATTAAGTGCTTGAGCCGTCGGCCATGTCCAGAAACTGTAACTTCTGGTTCTTCCCAGGCTGGCGTCAATTTTGTTTTCGGCACGACCGGTGGGGACCGCGATGCGCTGATGAAATCCACTGAGCAGAGCGGCGTCTACGCGGTCATCGCCTCCTAGCTTGCACTGCTGAGAGGAGTACTTGTATGGTGGTTGAGTTGTTCAGGCAGTCATTTATTTCGAGCTCTAGTCATTCAATTTTTTGCAACTTTTTAAAAGTTTGTCCTATGTTGTTCTCATGTCTGGCCTCGGAAGCTTACAATTTCGCAAATGTGAGCTTGCTTCACCTTCTCATTTGTCAGTATCTCTTGCTTTTTTTGCTGTGTTTGTACTGTTACCAGAGCGCCCCATGTTCTTGAAGTACTGACTTGGCAAAGCAACAGTGGCCAGTTGCTGTGTCAAGCTGGATGTCGAGCCTTCATCCCAAACGAAATCCCACGCTTTGTACTGTTCAAGAGTCGAAGAAACAGGCGCCAAACATGGGCAAACAGATCGTCGCGCTGCAGGCCACGATGGAAAGGAGAGGGCTGCCCACAAGTCGTGCATTGTTTTGCAACTGCTACGCTAAGGTTGTTTCTTGATGTAGTTGCATACTGTCACAAGAATCTTTACGTGACAGGTGTTCACTTATTACAGTTGTGATCGCTGCTGCTGCTGCTGCTGCTGCAGCACCACCGCCGACCACAAGGACTCCTGCTGCGTACCATTACAATTGCCACAACTGCTGCTGCTATTGCTGGTGCTGCTACCTATTACTCCTGCTACTTTTACCGCCACCGACGCCGCCGCCGCCGCCGCCGCCACCACCACCACCACCACCACGACCACTGCCAGCCGCGCTTCTTCTGCTTGCTCCTCCTCCGCCATCACATTGCAACCCTAAACCCTAAACCAGGAGGAACAAAGGATTGCAAAACAACACTTAAATCTAACCCTGATTAGCGGAGTATCGCCTGAGGATGGCAAGAGACTTCCCTGGTGCCTTTGCAGGCCATTGGCTTCCCAGGGGGTTAGCAGGGAATGTGCTGGGGTTATATAGGGATAATGGACAAGAACGTGGAAGCTACCTTTTCCCCTACCAAGAGGCAGTAAGATTGGGCAGAGCCGATTGCAGCAGAACAATGCGCTTGGGGCTTTCCGGGGATGAAGGGTTCCCTTTGCTGTAGGGTTAGGGTTTAGGGTTTACAGCCTTTCACGATGGATCTTGGTTTCTGTGCAATGCGTGTACCTCCTACAACGATGTTTGCAATGCACCTTCCAGATTTCCGATTTCCTATGTGAAGTCTGACAGGCCTTTTGCAGTGTGAGTAGCTGCAAGAATGGACAATGCCTTGCAACCGGCTTTGGGCATTATGCATATTCATGCACCGTTGGAAAGTACATGGGGCTTCGTTGCCAATGCCTTGATTCGGGTTCTTGCTGCCGAAGCGCATATAAGTTAGATGGGGAAGAATGTGCAAATACAATTTTACGAGGTAAGCGTGGGTCGTCCCTGCGCGCACGAGTGCGGTCTTGCCAGGCTACAAGTTGGAAGTCACTGAGTCCCATCAGAAGACGAAGGCTGGGATCAGAGGATAGAGCACCATTTTTTCACGCTTGACACAGCGGATCTCCACACTGCACTCAGTCTTAACCTGCTGTTCCCTATTGTAACTCCCTGCCAGTTTCTGCGGTACGAGCATAAGTATGAAGACACCACCAGTGGCCATAATCATAGTTGCGGCAAGGGGAGCATAACCGCTGCTGCAAGAGCACAAAAAACGACAACCACTGTCATCACCACTGCGACGACTACTAATGCACCCATTGTGGCTTCCATGCCTGCTGCCGAAGTGAGAGCTTCCACGTTTGTTTCCAGTAACCCTATGACCCCCTGTATGACACCCTATATCATCCCAAATCCTATCAACCTTGCGTCTGCTCCTGCTACTGCTTGTACTGCATCGTGCTGCCGCCACGGCTGTGGCTGGCGGCCACCATTCCGCAATCGCAACTACTGGGAGGTCCAGGGTAAGTATAATCTATTTAGTAACTTAGTAAGTGGACGTAGAACACAATCATGGCACGGGTATTTGTATTTGGGGAACTGATGCTTGAGCTGGGATCCGCAGTCACGAGCTGGGATACATGTACCGGACCTCCAGATCCAAGGATCCCCACCACCGGTGCCAATAATAATGGGGCCGCTGACTGCAACTTCCACAACATAACTATTTCTGCTGCTTGTTCGACGTGAAAATGTCACTTCCCGAAGCCTAAACTCCTAAACCCTAAGCCCTGAACTGGGGGGCCTCGCGGAGAGTTGGCCTGCAAAGACCAGCCCAATCCTCGAAGGAGACTGAAACGGCCAAGCATTGCATCCCAAGCCCCCAAATAGATATGGGGGTTTCCCAAAATAAGGGGTACCATTTTGGTCCCCAATAATAGGGACTATAGTATATTGGGGGCTATATTGGGGCCTTATTTTGGGGAAATTACCATATGGGATTCCCAAAACTAGGGGACTAGGGGTGCATTTGTTTAGAGAACTCCCATGACAAAGATTCTAGTACTTTGGGGTCCCCGTATTTCTCATATCCTTAGCAAGTACACGGTAGCGGGATGGACGTTTGAGCTTTTGAAGGCCGACACTAGCGGCACGGCCAAGGACATTGCAACTCGACCGTCTAGCATAGCCGAGAACTTTCCAGGTATGTATGATGTGCGAGTTGGTGGCACTCTGACTTGTGGGGTGCTAGGTGATTTGCACTTTGATGCGTTTGATGGATGCAGGAGTTGGGATTCACGAATCAGCTGTGAGGGCTTGACTGATAAGCTTGTAATGTTTGCCAGAATCGAGGGTGGATGAACTTGTGGATAGGGCGCTCAGGTGTATCAATTTGGGGTTTGCAGGGCTTGGTTTGGACTTCAGGCACAGCTTCGTGCTGTGCGGAGAACAGAGATGAGGGATGGGTGATCCAGGTTCGGAGTTGAGCAGCGAAATCATTTAGGTTCCTTCCAGTTTGCCAGAAAGAGTTGTGCAGCGTACACAACCCAAGAGCTGCAACACGTGCTGCCCCAGGCTGCGCAACAGCTCTTCCTGCAAAAGTTCATTTGAGCTGCAGCTAAAGTCCAAACTTCCTCCTAAGTAAAGGGGGTTATATATGGGGTATTTAGGGGACTACTATGGGGTTAGTAAAGCACATTCCAGGAGTTTAGGCAATAGCTCAAATACATGAATGCGGCCCTTACGACTCACTCCCTGCACTCATAACGGATCTCATAACCTAATTTGTGGGGCCTAGCGCGCATCCCTTAGTCCCGCAACTTGATCCCACCCTGCTGGACAGGTCAAGTCCTTTCAAGGACTTGGTGTGGATGCTTTCAGTCACGAACAGGCCATGGCTGGCTTGTATCCATTGGTGCGTAGTGTTGCAGTCGGCCTTACAAAAAATCACAATGCATGATCTTACATGATGGTACAGAAGAAGTTGTATGTGCCCATTCAAAATACACCTTGCTCTAGAACCGCCCATGCTAGCAGCTTAGTTTGGCTTTGACATGCTTGCGGTTTGCTCCTGAGATCACCAAGCTTCGGGACGACGCCTCCCAGAGGGCATTTGGGGTACCAGAGGCCAGGCATGCCCTCTGATTGGTCTACCGGTGCCCTGCCTACCTCTCATATGACAACTTGCAGGATGTTTTGTAGCAGTTTTGTATGTTTTCGCAGCTTGTGCCTTGTTAGGGCTGCGGTGTAGCTTTCTGGCCAGCCTTCCTGGGTCACAGGAGTTCGCCAACGGCCACGCCTTTCACACGTACACGCTCACAAGCAGCGATGGATCGGTTCAGTTGCCAGGCAGAAATTGCAGGGTGACCTCTGAGTAACGTCTTGTGGCACCTGGTGAGCCACTTGTGTAAGCTGAGGTTCCAATTTAAGCACAATGTGTGCGGCCGCCGCACATACGGAGAAGGGGTTGCTGATGCAGTCCAATTCATCGCCAGCAAGGCGATGGAAAAATCATCCAAGAAGGCTGGAAACTTTCGGTGCTTGTGCGCAGTTGCACAAAGCGTACGTAGCGTGCTGGCCGCCCTTTAGGAGCTACCCTCTCTAGCAGTATGTTCACATTCAGCTATCGCATGTGACTTGGGAGGTTTACAACATGATCGACATTCTGGAGGCCGCCAGTCAGCCATCATACTTCGAATCGCACCGCTGCCTGGACTCCTGTTGAATGTGTCTATAGAAGTTTCCATTTTCTTTTTCATCATCCCTATTTTACTATAGTAGCTTCCATTTTCTTTTCCATTATTCCTATTATACTGTAGTAGTTTCAATTTCCATTATCCTCATATAACCCCAATATACTATAGGAGTTTGCATTTTCCATTATCTGTGTGCAGGCTGGGGAGATGAAGTGAGTGATGTCCCTTTTGAGTTCCATCCTTGCTCAAAGCAAGAGATACTTCGTCCGCTGGTGTCCAGGCCGTGCCTGGTCCCCGTGTGGTTCCGCGGTTTTCCGTAGTCCGTAGGTAGGCATGAGGAATGGACAGCCTGCTGCATTCTGCGCGGGCGTTGGAACAGAAAGTGGCTTGAGCATTGGGTTTGTCACACTGAGGGTTGAACAGATTTTATTGCACATTTCTATGGGTCTACCAATGCAGGGCGCTGGCATTTGCGAGTTCAAGGCTTTGTAGGGATCACTCGAATGGTCCTGCTCGAGATCATCATCCATCCTTTTGCAACTGACGCAATAATGCACGAATGGCGCTAGTCCGGCAATGCTTCTCAAAACTTATATGTCATCCTTGCATTCACGGCGTCGGTGGCAAGACGGGATTACCACAAGCAGTTTTGTTTAGAAGTTTGAACTTCTCAATTTCAGCAACGTCATCGCCGGCTTCTTGTCCATGGCTATTCCGCTTATGACAACACTTCGCATAGTGACAGTTGTTGCATTAAGAAAAGATGCGGTTGATAATGATGATGACCTTGCCTGATCTTAGATAGTCTTGTAAGGCGTTCCGGTTGTGACCCGTTGTAATTGCAATCATCATGGCGTATGGTCCCCAAACTGGCATTTCTTGAAAAAACATCAGACTTGCAGAAGCGCCGTGCCAGACAGCAGTCTCTAGACGCTCCAGTACTTGGAGGCCCATGGGACTTAGTAACTACTTAAAACTGGGCTTATAACCTTACTTATAATCCTCCTAAATGGGCTTATAGGGGTTACCCCAATTATAAGTAGATTTATAACCCCAGTTATAAGTAGTTGCTAAGTCCCATGGGTCTCCAAGTAAGCTTCCAGTTTGAGCGATACCACCAAAAATAAGGTGCAGCTTTCGCGCTACTTCTCCTTGCTTGCCGGTTCCGACAAGGCTTGGCGCGTACTTGGCCAGGAACATTTGGGATTTCCCGAAGAAGTCTGTTTCCAATTTAAGTAAGCCTTACTCGCTGCATTATACTCAAGTATTCAAGCTAACGTGGTTTTGTTGGGGCTCAATGCGGACGTCAGTGTTATGGTTGGAGGGCGCAGAAGTCTAGTTGATGCATAAACTGCAGAATTGGCATAGTTGCCCAAAGTGTAACATCATGAGTGCCGAGAGTGTGCAGAGCTACTGGCCGTTGAAGCTGCGCTTGGGGTGTTCGATGCATGGACTATTGGCACTAGATGCCGGTATTGCCAAGGAGAGCCCTATTGCATGAATTAATCCCCATTTGATTACTCCCCTGCGCCGGAAAAACACGCAGCCTCTGATATTAGATATTCCCAGTACATTATAATATACCACGACGGGAGTATTCAATATGAGGAGGGGCGGGGAGGTTGAATATCCTAAGCCCTAACTCCTAAACGCTGGCTTTGGCTCAAGCCAATTTTGTTTGCACTTCTCCACACAGAGTTCCCCGATCCGACTACAGCCAGTATGTCGGGCCAGTCCAACCCGTCCTTTGTCATGGCTGCGAATGCTGGCACAGTTACTGAATCAGGTATCACGCACGCCACTCAGCCATCCCTCGCACAGATCCATGCTCGTGCACGGATGGGTGCAACTGCGGTTCAGAGTCCGGCACAGCGCTCAGAGTCCACTGCGAAGATGTCGGCCGCTGAGGCGGTGATGGTCGGCTCGCTGCTTGGTTTGGCAGCAAGCTCCAAGAGATCCAAGCGTAGCGCCAAGCGTACGGCCCTGCATGTCGCTACGGCCGACGTCCAGACTCTGAACGCCCCGGATGGCGAGGATGAGATGATGGCAGGCGTGTCCGCCGTTGCCATGGGTGGTTACACGCAGTCGAACGTGGCTGCGCGCCGCGTCGTTCCTACCGAGGCACAGAGGCAGGGCCGCAAGTACGTGAAAGTGGTTTACGTGGTCCTGGAGTCCCAGTATCAGTCAGCGATGACGACGGCCATCCGTCAGATCAACAAATCTCCAGGGCCTGTCTGTATGGAGTGCGTGGGCTACTTGCTGGAGGAGATTCGAAGTCCCTCCACGGAAGAGGAGCTGGCGAAGGACTTAGACGACGCCGACATTTTCATCTGTTCCTTGATATTTGTGCAAGAGCTGGCCGAGAAGCTCGTCAAGATCGTAGAACCTCGACGAGACAACCTCCAGGCCTGCCTCTGCTTCCCGTCAATGCCAGAGGTCATGAAGCAGAACAAGCTCGGAACCTTTGACCTGACGCAGATCGCCGGGGGACCGCTCGGCAACTTCGCACAGCAGGTGAAGGACTTGCGCCAGAAGTCTCTGTCTAAGAACAAGCCACTTACTTAGCCAATGGAAGAACTTAAACCTTTTTGGGCTTCCTTTTTAGGGTCTGTATAAAAAAAGGTTGAACTTTTTTGGCCCTGGTTATTGGGGAAAAGAGGCCAGCCTCGGGCGGCAACTTCCAGGACAGCCTTTTGAAGCTGGTCCGAACCTTGCCCAAGGTCTTGAAGTTCTTGCCAGGGGATCAGGCAAAGGATGCCAGGACCTTCGTCCTGTCCCTCCAGCACTGGCTTGGCGGAACGCCGGAGAACTTGGAGGCGATGCTCTTGCGCGTGGCCGGCGGCTACGTGCCCGGCGTTGAGGGTCTGGACACCGAAGCGCTCATGGAGCCCGTGGTGCTCCCTGACATGGGCATTTGGCACCCGCTTGCCCCTCAGATCTTTGACACCATGAGCGAGTACCAGGACTGGTATGACAACGTGCACTGCCCTGCTGCTGGTATTCTTCCGAATGCCCCAACCATCGGACTTGTGCTGCAGAAGTCACACATCGCTACCAAGGATGATGGCCACTACGTGGGCGTGGTCCAGGAGCTCGAGCGCCGCGGAGCTCGCGTGGCGTGCACCTACACCGGCGGCCTGGATTTCTCCGTGCCTGTGCAGGCGTACTTGTCCGGCCCAAGCGGCGAGGGAATCGTGGACGCTCTTGTCAACCTAACCGGCTTCTCCCTGGTCGGTGGACCAGCCTCCCAGGATGCCAAGAAGGCCAAGGAGGTCCTGATGAAGCTGAACCGACCATACTTGGTCAGCGTGCCCCTGGTATTTCAGTCCTTCACGGAGTGGCAAAACAGCCAGCTGGGTCTTCACCCAGTTCAGGTTGCCCTCCAGGTCTCGCTGCCTGAGATCGATGGCGCCATTGAGCCCCTGATCTTCTCCGGACGCGATGGCACCAGTGGTCGCTCCATCCCAATGCAGGACCGCATCGGCGCTGTGGCCACGCGAGCGATGAATTGGGCAAACTTGCGCAAGAAGCCCAACTCGGAGAAGAAGCTGAGCATTTGTGTCTTCCAGTTCCCTCCGGACAAGGGCAATGTCGGAACCGCTGCCTACCTGGATGTCTTCGGCAGCATCCACGCAGTGATGGGAGAGCTGAAGAAGCAGGGCTACACCATTGAGGACATGCCCGAGAACGCTGAAGGCCTTCAGAAGTCCATCCTTGAGGACCCTGAAGCCGCGATGTCCATGTCAGACCTCAACGTGGCCTACCGCATGAGCGTTGACGAGTATGAGGAGCTTTGCCCTTTCGCCACAGATTTGCGCGAGAACTGGGGCGCACCTCCTGGCGAGTTGAACACCGACGGCAGGGACATGCTGATCTACGGCAAGCACTTTGGAAACATCTTCCTTGGTGTTCAGCCAACCTTCGGCTATGAGGGCGATCCCATGAGGCTTCTCTTCGCCAAGTCGGCATCTCCCCATCACGGCTTTGCGGCTTTCTACACCTACCTGGAGTTCATCTTCAAGGCCGATGCGCTGCTCCACTTCGGAACGCACGGCTCTCTGGAGTTCATGCCTGGCAAGCAGGTCGGCATGTCCGGCAGCTGCTACCCTGACCGACTCATCTCGGTGCTGCCCAACTTGTACTACTACGCAGCAAACAACCCCTCAGAGGCCACGATCGCCAAGCGACGGTCGTACGCGTCTACCATCTCCTACCTGACCCCTCCGGCGGAGAATGCTGGGCTGTACAAGGGGCTGAAGGAGCTTAGTGAGCTTGTGAAGTCCTACCAGGGCCTCCGCGAGAACGAGCAGCGAGGTGCCTCGATCGTCAACTCCATTGTCGCAACCGCCAGACAGTGCAACTTGGACAAGGACATCGAAGGGCTCCCCTCCGAAGAGGATGACATGGGGGCTGTGTCTCTGGACGCGCGAGACGCAGTGGTTGGAAAGGTCTACCGTCTCCTCATGGAGATCGAGTCCCGCGCGCTGCCGATGGGCCTGCATCAGGTCGGTGTTCCCCCAACTGCAGAGGAGAGCGTTGCCACGTTGGTCAACATCGCCCAGTTGGATCGTCCTGAGATGGGCATCAAAAGCCTGCCACGGCTCTTGGCCGAGCGCAGAGGCAAAGACATCGAGGAAGTCTA